TTTTCTTTCATAAGTATTACTGCTGCTCTAGCTGTCGTCAATCAAGCTGAAGTACATGTGAAAAGATATTTTAGAGTGATCTGTTTTTTTCTTTTTAACGGTGAGTAATGAATACGCACATGTCTTCGTTACATTCATTGTTTCATATGCGTACTGAAATACAGAGTAGAATGCTGGTTAATATACTTGCTACTTGGTAAGCTAGTCGACATTTTGTTTTTACTGTCACAGTTGTAATAATGTAATGAGTTCATCTCATTTTATCCACTCTTTTATCTACTGAAGCCATTTTCGGTGCGTGCTGGAATGCATTCCCGAAATCCTCGGATTTCCAATTATGCATAGTTGCCTTCCATAGGTATTGGATAGTTATATACAATCTACTGGTTACAGAATGTTTTATATATTAAGATGTCAAAATACCTACACAGTGAAGGTCAATAAAACTATAGTTATCTTAAGTGTGCCTTATATTCGGCTTCAGTAAGTCTTATAAATAATTCATTCACTTATGTGTAATATCTAAATATATTTTTATGTTCAAGCTTATTTACCTGTACTTTAACATTACTTTTATTTAGGGCCGGAATTAGTTACCAGTTGCCGTCAGCAAGTTCAGAATCGTCTGTTTCTGGTCAAGGATCCAGCAGCTGCAGACCTTCAGATGTTAATCGCACGCAGTGCCCCATCTGTAGGTCTACGTACACAAATACCTCTACATCTTGGGAGTTGATTGGCATTCAATCTCCAAAAAATCATAGATATCAAATCTCAGGTATTGTTTTTCGTTTAATCTCACGTACTGGTCGACCGTCAGATACATTTCCTGAAGTTGATGATAATGATACTGATTCCAAAGAAGAAACATCATTCACCGTTATTGGCCATAAACATAATTCAACAGAGAATGTTTAACTTGTCTATTAGTTTCATTGTAACACACTGTACAGTAACTTCAGATTACTACACACTTTACTCCTATCTTCAATAACACATTTCATCTGATTTTTTATGAGCACAGGTGTTTGAAATACTTAATCAAAGTTTTCCATTGAACGAAAAAATGATATAGTAACCACCAACCTTTTACCAAAGCCTTGAGAAAAGTATAAAAGTTAATTAATACTTTTCATAATTTCCTGATCCTTATATTTATGACATTTGATATGTATGATTAAACTCTCTACTTATATTTGGATATATGTTTGTCCAATTTTGAATTCTAAGCAAGTAAAGTTGAGTCACTTATTTCCTCTGGTTAAATCTGAAAAATTCTTTTCCGTAAATTACCGACTCTAATATTAACCAAACGAAGTAAAAATTGACATCACGTGTTAGATTCATTATCAATAAATAAATGAAGTCATTCATTTAAATTAACATAAATACCAAACGGAATCATACTTTGATTTCTAATCATATAACACTATCGCCATTGTTAACTACCGTTTAAATATCCGGTTCTCGTATTAGGATTTCACCACTGTCAGTTTTTCAAATCTCACAATGTGCGTCGTAAATTTGACCAAATATGTGGGATTATTTTTCCAGTCACTGATTAAATGAGAGAGATCTTAAAACTAGAAATGAAGATTTATACTAATTTATACAACATATTCATCTTATGATAGATGCTTAGGTGACGTGATAATTTCCTAAGAAAAATCTGGTTTAAATCAACTACGTAGAACGAAAAGACTAACAAATAGTTCTCTGTCTTCTGTCAATATAAATTAGTTTTGTGTTGGCTGACAAAAACTATCTTTGAAGACTGAGTTTAAGTCATAAGATTAATAGTCTGTAGTATAATGACATATATGAATTATTATAAGTTGCTTCTCACGGACATCATATGAATATATTAGTATTAGTCCCTTTTGATTGATGCTTAATACGTTCAGTTTGAATCTCTTGTTTACTCAGTGTTATTATTTAGTTTAGTGGTGGATTGTTCAGCTTAAAGATTAATTTTAATTATTTAAACGGGTGTAAAAAGTAAGAGTATAAAATGGTGTCTTCGTTTGGAACTTGAATTTGACTTAATTGTGATGAGATCTAAGTATCCTGAGCTCGACCTTATGTAAGAGTGACTGTAAGGGTTTTCTACTTTTGATATCAATCTGTGATAAAAACTGACTTTCTATTGGATCTTAGTCATTTGTTTCTGTTTCTTTCTTGAGTCCAACTTTTATTGTGAAATTAGTTTCTTCAATTTCTCATATTATTATTTGTATTGACTATTTCGAAAATTCTATTTTCATTTCTTCAACACGATTGTACACACTTGATTGATTTATCAAAAACTTTCATCTAACCAATTTAATTTATTGAATCATATGTTAATGTGTATCCATTTTTCGCATGAATAGTAGAAAAGTAATACCATGTGGTATTAATGACCTTCAAATTACTTTGAAAAACAAACACATTTTATGTTAAACCTCAATTGTTTTCATTTTTAATTAAAATAAATCTATTCAAAAGAATTCAATAAGTTAAAATTCACACATTTCGTGAAGCATGTAAGTTTAAAAACGGAAAAGGCTTCGAAAAATGACATTTAAACCTGTTTAACAATAGTAAATTTTAGGAACAGTTATTTAGATCACTTATTTGACACAGTTTGTCCCATCTATAAATTTGAATAAAGAAAGAACAGTGATCGTAGAAGAATGATGTGGATCCAATTATTTCATAGATTCTCTTCAGCTACATACCATCTAAAATAGTACTAATTATTATGTAATATTTAAAGTTACTATTCTTTGAACATTCAGTCGATTGATCATTTAGGCTAACCCACATGTTGAGTTCAAGGTTGGTCATCGAGTCTGTACAAGCTTAATAAGATTTCCTCGTATTCAACTCTTTAAAAGATCAAAAGTTTCAGCTTTCCATGGAAAGAAGCTTGAATACTAGATACAAAATAAGTATGTTTTATGTCAATATTTATCGTAGTATTGAACTTTTATCATTGTTTTATTTTCATTTCATATATTTCGTATTTGAAAATGTGGTCTTTCCATTATTTCGTTTTTTACATTCCCATAACTCAGTTGTTTTTGGTATCATTTAAATTTCCAAAATAAAATTACAAAAATGAGACGTTTACCAAGTGATTTGGTTATCTAGCATCCCCAACATCTAAGCCACCATTGAAAACAAAAAGCACTAGACATCTATTTCATCCTAGTATGAGACTACCTAATGCACATCCTCAACCCCTCTGCAAAGGATAAAACCCGGGATATTTGGTCTCGTATGCAAACGCTTAATCTCTTGACCACAGACAGAATATAGTGCTGTACATGCCTAGCTTTCATCAATTCGCGATATTGTAATACCACTTTCCATAGTCTGGGGTAGATAACCGTCTCACACGCAACTTGGCTGAAGTCTCCTAGTCACACCGTGCTACCAACGATAATCTTGCAGTACTGCGAAGTGACTGAAGTTAGAAATGTTCACCATCAAATGCTACAGTTGTGGACTAAAAATTAGACTTTCGCACGCTAGACCACCTGGGTTCTAGGATGAAGGAATTGTCTTACGCTTCCTGGTTTTCAATGGTAGTCTAGCTAACATTGGTTGGTGATTTAAACTACAATATTAGATTGTTTTCATGATGTAATCATCTACATTAACTGGTTGTATCTCACGAAATTAAGTTAGAAAATTATATACATACATAGTAGTAGATTCGTCTAAATGTGATACTTCTCTGAATATAGTGTCTTCACTTGTGTAATGGAAATTAGCTAGGTACTTGATTTATCATCAACAAACTATGGTTTAAGGAATGAACTAATTCTTTTAGCAGACTATAACGTACATGTGTTGTTCAAATGGAAATGTAAGAGAATTTCAGATTTACGTTACTCAGTTTTTAAAAATCATGTCCTAAATCTTAAAAATAAATAGCTGTTTATTTCTTTTTATTTTATTGAAAAAAACCTTTCAAAACTATTCGAATTTTCACTAGAAAGCAACCCATGATTTTGCTATAATCATTTAGTTCACACTATCTTTTTAAAAACAAGGACTTTTATGTTGTGGATGGAATCTTGTCTTAAAGTTAATAATTTCCTGTCATTCAGACACCGTTTTATGCGGAACAAACAATTTTAAATGCCACCCGATTTATTAACTGAAATCGTAAAAAGAATCTTCTCAATAGATTGTAAGAAAATAATAGATTATTTAGGTTTACATATAAAACAAGAAAACTGAAACTGAGTCTTCAGTACAGACGTCATCAAAGACTCACTGAGCTCGTGAATATATATCAACGATACTTATTGTTCAAAGGTACATAAATGAAATCTTGATATGTTTATGGTAAAAACATTGTGTTTGAAAGTTTATTCAGTTAATCATTCCTACTATTTTATATCAAATACACAAATGAACATGATAGGATATTGACTCATTGGAATTGTTTTATTCAATTTTATTACTGACAGATATAACATATATTGAACCTCATAAAATCTCGTTTTAAAAACAATGGAAAATTTTTATTGTATAAGTAAAACTATGAAAAATGATAATAAAAGGGTATATACTTTTCTTTTTACAAATACAAAGATTTCTACATAAAGAATTGAAATAAATTTAAGAGTATGTTTTTCACTATTGTGTAACATATCAGATGCCAAAATATGATTCTGTAAATTAGAATCTGAACATCGAAAGAAATTATAATATATAGGGAAATCGGCATAAAAATTTATAAACAAAGCCGACAAAAAATGGAATTGTTTATATCACATTTAATTAAATACATTGATAGATTGTAGATGTAAAGAAAAGAAATTTATGCAATAAAATTTTACAGAAAATTCTTTCAACCTGAAAATTTATAGTAAATACATTTTCCTTTTTCAATCAAATAATATCGAAATATAAGTTATAATTATTATGATTATTTAATGTACATACTGATTATATTTTCTTTTCGGATCTATGTATGATGAATATTATTAAATTATATTTATTTGCTAAGCAAATGAATGTATAAAACGTTGACCATTTCTGCCTGTACGAAGAGCAAAGTATATTCCTGCGGCAAATATTATTATGATTAGGATTGTTCCAATAACAATTAGTGCTATTACAGTTGGACTTACTGAAAAGAAAAAAGAATTATTGAAATAACACAATGATGTTGAAACACATCTTGTTGAATAAATCAACTAGTAATTATGCCAACAATGTTTCTAGATTATTAGATTCCTTCTAAAAATAGGTTTATCAGGGATTTACTATTATTATTTTTGTTACAAATATTGCACAAAGGGATTTTTTAAGTTATGTTTTGTTTCTATTCAATGCAGTTCTAATGAGCTGATAAGTGTTAAGATATTTGCTATTATAAATAGAGTTGAATGGTGGTTATCAGTGGGAACCAGGATGCATTTCTCGTTATATTTGGGACTCAGCTGGATATACCTGTGGTGGTCGGTATTTGATATAATCCTTAAACTTCGTATACAGTTCGTCGCGATAACCGTTCTATATAACGTACCAACGGTATATTAATCAGAAGGCAAATACGAAGTGTCGATTACGTTTATTGCGAAACCACACACATATATCCAAATGTACAGATGTGTTAAACAAGCATAGGAGAGTTGTGCCGAAAGGCAAGCAAGCGAACGAGAGCCAGAGCAAGAGCGTGACGAGACCGTGCGAGCGAGTGAGCGATTGTGTGTTCAATATGAATAACATGGACATATATATACCATGTGAAATGAATGAGTAATCGAATCGAATAAGCGGTTAGTGGTAAGACTAGCAGAGTGAATAAATGCGTAGGCAGTAATCAATATTCAAGCATACGTATTTCATACAAGCTCAAAATAATAATAAGGATACAATACATTGCTATAGCGCGGATGGCTTTGTCCGCTAAATAAGTTAACAAAAAGGGCTTAACTGGGTTAAATGAGAATAAACCCATTTGCACGTGAGTCGCTATAATAGCTCCCCCCTGCAAACAAAGATATATGGAAAATGTCTGTGTTTGCATAAAAAAAATAATAGACTGAATAGGGTAGAAAAAATGGCTTATACAAAATTAAGGTGAAGTTATTGTGTGCTGTACATTTGATTTGCGCCCGTCCGTGAGGTTACATAAAATAATAGCAAAAAATAGAAGGAAAGCGGTATTGTCTTTACATTTTAAACAAAAATTATACGCATAAGTGTAAAAGTACATAAGATACGTTGAGTTTTATAGCGTATAACATGAGCTTAATAATGCATGTGTATACAATGAGGTAGAAGTTATAATTAATATTCCAAATAGTAGATTATTATTAATAGAAAATTGTAGCGACATAATGTTGGGGCCATCTTACTCTGCGGCCGGACCTTGTTGTTATCGGAGTCTTGCCTTTTTGTTGCGTTAACGTTGTTGATTTTTGGGACTCGTGTTTCGCTGGTATGACCATCTTAGATGAGTCTGTACTTGTTGATTGATTATCGCTATCGATGAAAGCTGGCTTTACTCGATCGATGCTAATTACATCTGTCTTCCCAGCTTTTTCTATGGTAACCGTTTTATTTGTCCTCTCTATCACTTTAAATGGTCCGTCGTAACTCGGTTGAAGAGGTGGTTGTATTTTATCTCTTCTGATGAATACGTGAGAGCTGTTATGTAGTTCCTGTGGTATGAATACCCGTCGTTGTTGTGGTCTGGGAGGTGTTATTTTTAAATCGCTCATGTGCTTTCTCAGGCGTTGCACATAGCCGGTTACATCAGTCGGGACATTTTTACTTGAAGTGAAGAATTCTCCGGGTAATCGTAGAGTAGTTCCGTAAACTAACTCGGCTGGACAACATCCCATGTCTTGTTTAATTGTTGCTCTTAGGGCTAACATTACTAGGGGAAGTTTATTAGACCAATCGTTGTTAACGATGACGGCTGTAAGGGACGCTTTTAATTGCCTATGTAGGCGTTCAACCATTCCGTCTGCCATTGGATGGTACGACGTCGTTCGGATTCGTTTAATACCGAGGAGTTCAGTAAGCTGCTGAAAGAGTCGACTTTCGAATTGTGCTCCTCTATCCGTTGTGATAATCGTTGGTACACCGTAGTAAGAAATCCAATTTTCAACTAGGGTTTTAGCTACCGTTTCAGCTGAGGTGTCTTTTATCGGCACTGCTACCGGCCATCGTGTAAACCTATCGATGCATGTAAAGATATAGTTGTATCCATTTGAAACGGGCAGTGGTCCTACAATATCGATGTGTATATGTTCAAATCTAGTGTCTGGGTGCGAAAACGGACCTACTGCAGAGCTAGTATGACGATGTACCTTAACTTTTTGGCACTTCATGCATGCTTGTGTCCAATTACGTACATCGTGATTCATGTTTGTCCATACGAATCGTTCACTAATCAGCTTTATCGTGGCTTTTATTCCTGGGTGCGACATGTTGTGCATGCTTTCGAATATTTTGTGTCGCAACGTTTTCGGGATGAATGGTCGCGGTCGGCCTGTTGATGTATCGCAAATTATTTTCGTGTTACCAAACTGCACCTCTTCGAGTACTAATGATGTTGAACCACCGGATCTGAGTTTATTTAGCTCGATGTCTCTCTCCTGCAACTTTGCTAGACCGTTATAATCAATTCCACTTGCCATAAGTGTGCTTATCGTTGCTCGTGACAATGCGTCAGCCACATCGTTTTCTTGTCCTTTAACATACTGTATGTCGGACGTGAACTGTGAAATGAACTCTAGTTGTCGGATCTCTCTCGGGGAATAATTGTCTTGCTTTGCGCTTAATGCTTTCGTTAGCGGTTTGTGGTCTGTATAGACGGTAAAACTTATGCCTTCGACCATATGACGGAAGTGTTTTATTGCCAAGTAGATTGCTAATAATTCTCGTCCAAACGTACTGTACCTCGTTTGGGTAGGATTTAATCTTTTCGAGAAAAATGAAAGTGGCTCCCATACACCGTTTACTAACTGCTGCAAAACGGCTCCTACTGCTAAGTTCGATGCGTCTGTCATTACTGCTAATGGCGCTTCGTTCTTTCGTCGTACCAACATCATCTTCTCGTTTAGCGCTCGCTTAGCGTTCTCAAAAGCCTGTATAGCATCCGCTGAAAGACGGAATGTTCGAGTATGTCCTCGCAAGGCGTCCGTCAATGGCTGTAATGTTGCTGCGCAGTTTGGGATAAATCGTCTATAATAGTTTATTAGCCCCAAGAATCTTCGTAATTTTCTTTGTGAATCAGGCAACGGATAATTACGAATAGCAGCAACTTCTGTCGGAACTAGCATGATACCATGTGAATTTATCATATGACCTAGGAATTGCAATGATTCCTTTCCAAATTCACACTTTTCCACGTTAATAGTGACGCCATGTTCTTGAAGTCTCGTAAACAACTGTCGTAGATGTTGTAGATGTTCTTCTCTGGTAGAGCTAGCTACTAGTATATCATCGATATATGCGTGAACTCCTGTCAAACCCCTGACGACCTGATCGATGAATCTTTGGAAGGTTTGGGCTGCATTAGTTAATCCGAAGGGCATTCGCAAAAACTCGAATAACCCAAATGGAGTAGTTATAGCCGTTTTAGATATATCTTCCGCCGCTACAGGAATATGGTAATAAGCTCGAACGAGATCGATTTTCGAAAATATCGTGGCACCTTCCATATTGGTAGTAATATCGTGGATATGTGGTATCGGATATCTGTCTGCTATCGTTTGCTTGTTAAGGGCTCTATAGTCTCCGCATGGCCTGATTTCCCCATTCTTCTTCGAAACCATATGCAATGGGGACGCCCAGGGACTATTAGAAGGTCTTATGATACCAAGCTTCGTCAACTTTTCGAACTCTCGTTTCGCGACATCCAACCTTTTCGGGTCTAGCCTTCGTGGTCTTGATTTAATCGGTGGACCTTTCGTTATAATATGATGCTGTACCGTATGTTTAAGATCTCTGTTATCGTATGATACCTTCGTCAGATCGGCATACTCGTTTAGAAGCGATCTATATGGCTCGTTTTTGTCTTTTGACACTACTAAATTCATGGATGCGTGATCAGTCGTCACTCCTCTTATCACTACTGAATGGTCGCCGTTCACGAGCTGGTTTCGTCGGGTATCCACTAGTAAGTCAAAATTCTTTAAGAAATCAATACCGATTATAGGTACGGATACATCTGCGATAATGAATTCCCAGCGGAATGAGGTAGTACGACCGAAATTCAAGGTTACTTTTCGCTTGCCATATGTTTTTATATCGGATTTATTTGCTGCCTTAAGCGTTAGCGCTGTATCGATATTTCGTGTTTCGTTACTTACTGGGGGCACGACGCTTACTTCTGCTCCCGTATCCACTAAGAATTGAGCGCCTGTTACTCTATCCTGAACGTAAAATAAACGACTGTTTCTAGGAGCTGTTGTAGTTGTTGTGGCGGTTATCGACAATCGGTGTGTTCGTTTGAATTTACATGGTGATCTACAGTTTCGAGCTTTATCGCCGAAAGTTTGATGGTACCAACATATTATAGGAGCTGAGCGTCTCCTAGAACGTGATCGACTTCTTTCCCTCGATCTACTTCGTGACCATCCTCTTTGCGTATCGCTCTGATTTAGTTTCATCAGCTTGTGGCATAAAACATTAATCTCCTTTTGTAATGCATCGATTCGTCCATCTATTGTGGTACTATGCCCTTGCGGACTCGTTTGTTTCATTCTTTCATAAACGATGCTTGAATATTGATTACTGCCTACGCATTTATTCACTCTGCTAATCTTACCACTAACCGCTTATTCGATTCGATTACTCATTCATTTCACATGGTATATATATGTCCATGTTATTCATATTGAACACAATCGCTCACTCGCTCGCACGGTCTCGTCACGCTCTTGCTCTGGCTCTCGTTCGCTTGCTTGCCTTTCGGCACAACTCTCCTATGCTTGTTTAACACATCTGTACATTTGGATATATGTGTGTGGTTTCGCAATAAACGTAATCGACACTTCGTATTTGCCTTCTGATTAATATACCGTTGGTACGTTATATAGAACGGTTATCGCGACGAACTGTATACGAAGTTTAAGGATTATATCAAATACCGACCACCACATACCTGCTGATCATTACAGTCCTAAACGTCATTGGGAAGATTCAAACAACCAATAAAAATGAATTATTTGGTAAATAATTCATAAGTTATCTTGAATTTAGTTGTGAGACTTTACTAAGTAATTTTTTACGGGGATTATTGATATTATCGGTGATTATTATAAATTTAGGATACAATTAAACGAACATCTAGTATTTCATTAAATAGATGTTTGGGGTGAGTTGTAATTTAAATTCAGGTTTTGTAGATCAATAACCTGTTTCGTATATAACGGTAATTTAGTTCACTACTTCTAAATATACAGAAACATTCCTCTAGCCAACCATGGATTAGAAATATAGTTATCTGAATTCAGTATATCAATGTTACCGAAAAATCCAGCTAGTAAGAAATGAAAAGTGAAGTGATACCGGGAAAAAATGTACTTATATAACAGTTTTTCATGTTGGTAACTTCTTTGTCAATTTAGAATACACATGATACTCAGCCAACAGAATTTCGAGAGGACATGTATACTTAGTGTGACATTAGTTAAAGAAAATACTGATTTTGAAATGAACTTCAACAAAAGTTGAGAAGAGTCTTTAGATTGTAGATGGTTATATATATATATATATATATATATATATATATATATATATATATATATATATATACTAACTTGCAAATATATCTTGGAACTTCTTCATTCCTGACCTCTGGTTCGACTGGGTTTGGGATTCTTGATGATAAGATCGTTGTAGATAGAAGCATTGACAAACCCTAAATGTCCGTGACACCTTTACACATATTACTCCAGTCACATACTTTAAAAAAAAGCTATTCGTATCTTGATCGACCTTTTGCAAAGTCAGTATGTTTACATGGCTTGGTCACCGATTGTTTACTAATGTGTGATTAATGAGTCATAATTGTCGACCGGATTCGGATGGACAATTTACTATGTTGCTACAAGAATAAGCATTTTGACTTTTCGATTTACTGTATCTCATATTAGGTAATTAAAATCAAGTACAAAGAAACTTGATTGATGTAATTTTTTTAATACTCAAGACTGAAACACGTACTGTCATTGACTACTTATAAATCATTTAGCGTAAGCAGTGTGATATCCAGATATTTTACTTCGCAGTTATGAATTTTAAGTGATGCTAATTGTCACCATAGTTTTTTTGGAGGAAGAGGGTAAGGTAAAAGGCTATGCATTACGTGACTAAACGTACTTATACACTGTTCTCCGGGCTGTTGCATGTTTAAATCTATCCACATTGGATTACATACACAAACGGCACCGTCAGACCTCTCGATGCATTGAGCATGTGGTGAACATTTTGATGCAATCGTACTACAAGTTTCTTTTTGCATAATTACTAAACAGATTAATGAAGAACAGTGAATTGATATTAGTTAATAAAGATGGTTAACAAGTTACACAATATATAAGAATTATATATTTCATGCACACGTATATTGTACAAACTTTGCAGGTAGCGTGTGTTATGTGAATTGGTGTACTGATCAATCGTGTTGCTGTGTGTATTTACTTGAGTTGCCGACTCAGTTTTAATGATCATACATAGTACAACAAATAGGTAAGTACTCCAGACATATTACAAAAATATACATGAATAAATGTTAGTAATCAATCGGTGAGACTATAATTTATGAACGACCTTTGCGAGACACTAAAGTGACCTTCAGAATGTCCACCTACTAACTAGAACCAAATGATGGTTATAAATCAGTCTGAGGAATTAGAATTTTGATTTAAAGTTGATGGTTACGCTTAGAAGTCATATTCAAGGTTTCCATCATGAACTGATAAGACACTTTAGCTAAATGGATGAATAAATTTCGCACCAAAAACTGATATCCTAATTCTGATTCGTTCATCCCAAAATTATAGTCGCTCCAATTAGTCATATCAAAATAATTAACGGGACTGAAAAAGACAATTGCATTAGGAGTGCACATATCGTACGACTGAGAAATAACTAAGTATATTGGAGCACCATTGAAAATATGGAAGCACTGAATGGCCACATCATCATAATATGGGACTTCTTAGCATTGCGCATCCATGACCCCGCACGCGGGATTAGAACACAGGACTCTCGGTCTCGCGTGTGAACGCTTAATCTCTATACCACCAGGCCATCATCCAACGGTGTTACTGTCTAGCTTCAACCAATCGAACCTCGCATGAGAGATCATGGATGGACATTGCCTAGTAGTCCCATACTATATTTACAATATTTAATGCCATGATAGTTAGTGTTCATGAAAATGAACATAGGATGGAAATTGACGAATTTCCAAATTTTCACGTATATGAATTCTCTAGTAGTTAATTATTAGCATTTCAATAATCCTTTTATACGTATAGAAGAGAACAATAAACTACAAGGTTTATACCGAATAATCTATTTATATATCTAAGTTGAGTCTTCACACTTATTACTGAAGATGTTAGTTTTTTTATAAAATAAGCAGACATTATTCTTCCCTAATTAGTTCCTGGTCCCCCAAATGCCCTAGTAAGGCCGATAGTGGGGATAGCTCTCCCTCTCGAAATGCTCTCAAGTTGCTACGTGAATACAACCACTGCCAAGGGGAGTCCTACTCACTGCGTTCTCGTGGCAGAGACGAAAAGCGAATGTCCGGCGCTTTAACCGAGTTGGTGGATATGGAGGATCCACCTAGGGGAGTTGGAAAACCCTGATTCCAAACCAATAGTGTACATGGGCTCCAGGATCCTAAGAAAAAAGGCGTATGGACCAGTTATTGGTCACCAGCTACCATGGGATTGCATCCCCTTACGTTGCTTCACTGCCTTGCGGATTAGACCTTCAGGTCGAAGGCTCGGGTTGTGGCCCCCTAAGAAAACCACCTGCTTCTGTTTGTGCACCTGGGCAACAGTTCAGCCCTCACAAAAATCGAATGATTTACGTGGCGCATATGTGTTTGGTGTCTCCTAGTACCAATGTTTATGTGTTTTAATAAATAAATAAAATATAAATACATTTAAAAGTTTTCTTATAAAATGTAATACTTTTAAACAGTGTTCATAAGGATAAAAGTAATATTTCTTCAAGTCTTAGTAGTATTATTATTAGATCTATTCTTGATCACTTTGATGGATATAAAAGCAATTAAAATCACAAGCATTTGACAATTGTTTCATCTTGCTACAAGACTTTTCAAAAATCCCCAACTATAACCCCTTACAGGAGTAAATTTAAATTCTTGGAGTTTGAAATAAACAAAATACTAATGAGTTGCTTAATTGATATTTAAGGGAAATGATGACTTTTCGTTCTATTTGCTTGAATACGTAAACTTTTAGGAGAAACGATAATAATCTTTTTTACGTAAAACACTAATATCTGTATGTGCTTTCTTCAGAATTGCTACATTTCCAACTGGAAGTGATGAAGCACAAAACTAATACATATTATGCTACATACATTAATTTCATCAAGGGAAGAAAAATAATGTTGAAAACAGATGTATCTCGTAGCGGGGGTGTTTAGAGGACAAAAAACGAATGTCCGGTGGATATATATATATATATATATATATATATATATATATATATATATTAGTATTTTCTATACATAATGAATTTTTAACGATATAAACATACATTTAAGTGATATTATACTTTTGGAATCGATTGACTGATTTTTTAACAGATCTATTACATATAATTGCGAACCCAACTGAATTGCTTGCAGAATTTGTGTTTGAGTCACATTGAGGTCATTTATGTATTCTACAATTATCTGTACATCAGATTTCACAGAACCCGGATAAAAACGAAGAACAGTACAATTAAGTACGGTGTACTGTATTGATGTAATATATCGAGGGCTGGCCTTTATCTGCAAATAAATATTAGATGAAAGCATAATAAATCAAATTTATGGAGATTCATGTGATATGTTGAGTTGAAATAAATTCTTTTATGAATGTACGTCAAAGACGAATTTACAAGTAGAAGGATACAGTAAATATTTAATGTCTGTTGCTTAATATAATAATAATGCTAATAAAATTTATGTATCCTATTTTACTTCATATACATTCTGTCGACAGATCATGTTAATAACAGATTACACATAAAAATTCGAATATAAAAGTATTTGAAGTATTTATGTTTTAGACAATCTAACATTGAATACCATTTTGGTAAGTCGAGAATTAAAATTACGATCAAAATATTATGTGTCGATCACAATGTTTAATTGTAAAATCAATAGTTATTGAAATGATATTTGCCAACTTAATCTGCTAGAGAGATTGTGGTCTCCAGATCCGTGTACTCGTGAGGTGAAGAAGAAAAAGAAGGAGAATGCTATTAAGATGAACCTGATTCTTACTGAATTTGTCATCTATGGATTTTGCATAAATATATCCATCATTGATGCATGAAAATTATTACAAATAAAATACAATGTTAGTCACTGAAGAGAATTTATTGACTATGTAGATATTTTCGGCTCGCTTAACATTATGTTGTTAATTTAGCTCCACTGTCATCGTTAGCAACTAAAATATATTTGTAACCGCTTACGTTATGTGAAACCCCTGTTATATATATATATATATATATATATATATGTATATATATTGGTAATTTTGGGCGTAAAGGAAACTTTATGCTCCTGAAATTTTCGAAATCAACATATAATTTGGTTGTTAGTGATAGTTTCATGTGTTTAGTGTAATGTTACTTTGACCCTGTAATAAATTTATATTTTTATTTTATTTCTGTAACAAATTCAAATATATATCAGTAGAAAGACTGAATTCATTCGTTTCCAAAAGTCTTGTGAATATGAAAAGAAAAATAAATTGGTTATTGTACCAAAGAATATCATGATCCCTTGCTTTTGAAAATAAATGTGTAGACCATTCAACACTCATTTTTAGAGTCTCATATACATTGACCTTCATAGTGGAGGATTGTCAAGCAATATTGGAAACAAATTCAATAAAAATGTTGGATTTTAGACCAATTCAATAAGTAGGCTTATTACATTCTTTATAAACTATATTTATGTTTTCACTGTTTATATTGATTGTGAATTCGTATTGTAAACTACTTGGCTCTTAATAACAATGTTAACAGGTGAAACTGGATAAGGTATTAATTTTCCTTAAAATTCAACGAATACATTCCTAACTTTATTTAAACCAAAACAGTCCTTTTTTTATAAATCATGAGAACAGCATATTTGCATCTTGAGTATAAGTATGTAATTTATTAGGATGTAAGAATGGTCTTTTGGCCTCACAAAAGACCAGTCAAACATTCAGTTCTAAAATAGACGAACATAAAATAAAATGACATGATTGCATACCGAAGCACAAGTGTTTTCAGCAGTACTGTTGTAAAGTTCAGAAAATTTGTTAGACAGTTCGGAATTCCAATTTGTTTGTTGATTTCCTATTAAAACCTCCACTGTCATTGATAGTTCTAGTATATCTAAAATGATATTGATCACACTTTAAGATTTATAATTAAATCTAATGCAGTAAAACTGAGGATGTATAATTTATTTTAAAATTTATCTTCCGGGTAATCGGTGTTTGCAGGCACTAAAACGAGTGTATTCTTAAGAAGCTTATTAAACATTCTTAACATTTTTAGAAAAAAAACTGGATGTTATATTTATAATTTAAGATCAGTTGTAGCAATTAAACAGCTTAAATGTTTATATTAATACTGGTTTAAGTTGATAAGATTGTTTAATGTAAGTTAAAGCATAGATTGTAATAATTGTTTGTTTTAAAAAAAGGTTAATATTATTTTCATAAATCACAGCTTAAACCTTTACGTTAGACAACAATTTGAATGTTAAAATTATCTTAATCTCTTCTTACATAGATGATACATTTTGAAGAAACATTCATTGAAGATGTTGGTTCATGTAGTAGGTAATATATCAGTAAAATTCCTGGATAAAGTTTTAGATCTATCACCCGGTACTAAACACTGTGATCTATTTAGTATCCTGTAATACTAAATGAACACCTTTAGTAAACCTATGGGGAAATGTTATTAACAAGAGTGAAATAATCAGATAACAGAAGAAGCTTGATGTGCCATCGATTGAATAAGATAAAAGTCATCGATAAATTATAAAACACCACAAAAGTTTTGAATAATTTACAATTAACTGGTCTCTTCGTAACACAATCTTAGTTTTGGACAGATATCTAATCTAAGCCTATTATTTTATAATTTATCAACTAAATAAACCACTTGAGATCATTCGACTCAACCATTCTTTTCATAAAACCTTTCTCATTCTCTTTTCAACTTCTTAAAGAGTAAGGAATCTTGGTAATAGACTCTCAGGGAATTCCCGTCACTTGGATGAAAAATGGCTGAGTAGAACTTATGACCACAATTGATACTAATGAAAATATCTGCTGACCAATTGTATGCAAATGGTTAAGAGTTGTGGGAAATAATCATAATATTATGAGATGAATATGAAATCTGATTCTATTTGACTGATAGTGTTATAAAGTTTTTGCTTAGTTTAGTAATATAACTTGATTAAATGAATATTGTGAAATGATAAGGACGTAAATAAGAAATCGTCATTTTAAATTTCGACATTAATCTGTCAGTACAAGACTAATTAAAAGTTTTGACATACACTTAATATTTAAAGTATAAACAAGGAAGAAAAAAAAACAGCAACTCACTTTTCGTACTGAAAGTCGTTTTGCTTAATTCAGTTGTCTCTGAAAAACAATATGAATACATATTTTACAATAATAATAAATCATGATAATTTGAACATAGTCAATATAACTTTTGTAAAAGATTTTATTTAATGTACTGATATAGAAATTACTTAAATACTATTGTAGTAAGCCTAATCAACTACTTTATTATTTGTCTACTCGCTGTAATTTAGACATTTAATCCACTATATAAAATTTTGTGTAAGTCTGAATGAGAAAATGTCTGGTCTTCAATCTTGATCTATTCTCTCATTGGCTGTAAACGAAGACAATGAATAATTTATTCGCAATCGATTAACATTCAACAATAAATGTGGACTTTTATCACTTATTTGTTTCCCTGTATACTTGCTTTCTACACGCTTGCGGAATTTACTACACCTTAACAATAAACCAACTCTACAAATAGTGTTGAAGGACATCTCATCAAGATAACAAAGAAAGGCGGACACAGCAAATGTGAGAACTCAAGAAGCATCACTCTTCGCTCAAAACCAGGAAAAGTATTCAACAGGGTATTCCTAAACAGAATGAAGGACTTCACAAACGTCAAATTATCTTTCGCACCAATCCACCACATACTCACAGACCACACAACACTCACACAGTGTGTGAGGTGACTGACCTGTCACAAGAAGATGCGACCAGTCATCAGTCATCGTCTCAATCCAATCACTTCATCAAACAACATGCACACACCATCTAGTGCTCACATCCACTTCGCTCATCCAGTACAATCATTCAACTCAAGCAAACACACACACACCAGTAGGGGTCTAGGCTACAATGGACGAAATCCAACACCAATAATTCAATATAGCTTGAAAATATCACATACACTCACTTTCTACTGTCAAGCCACTTGATGTATCGAAGTACACTTGCTCCGACCCATTGGCAACCATTTCTGCTATGTATGCCACAACAGCATTTCGAACAGTGTCTTTTGTCACTTCAGTCGATGAGAAATTCCCACTTGTGCTACTATGGTCGATGACTAATACTGCATTTCCAACAACTGATCCACGCGAGAAGCCAACAACTGTGCAATTAACATTGATTATTCCCTCAATATTAGTTGAATATATGCTGTCCAAAAGCTTGAAGATTTTGTGAGAAGAAAATCGTGCGTGTTATAACGGGATGAATATTGTAAAAGTTGGAAATTTGGAAAATGGTTTTTGAATCGTTATCATGAATATTGTTATTGCTATCAACTATGTTTTTCTTATATAATTACTAAGCAACTGGATTACTGTGTCTATATAATACGTTAACCACAAGCTTTTGGTTAACCCGTTAACCACTGATAGACAACTCTCCACTCCCAGATTTTTGCCAGTCTACTACTTACGGCTTGCATTATTCACAAACACTTTCGGCTTGTCTATGTATGCTTGTGATTTTTCACTCAGTGGTGCGATGTGGTCCAGCACGACTGTATATGATTCCACGTATGCCTGAAGTATAAGAATGATAGAGGCCGTCTGTTGACTTCTCTCTTTGACTCAAGTTTGAAGGCAAAGAAGGACTTACGAGTAGCGGAAAAATAGGAGCTTGGCTTGCATCGCCACAAGGTGGACGGTGAGGGTCATGCCTGTGGTTGGTCATTGCTTGGACACTGGGTCATGGAGGAAATAGTAAACACGGAATGGAAAAGAAATTAGAGTTAGAATTCCGATTGGTAACCTTAGCACATGATATCAATCAGCATCTCAAGCCACAGAAATGTGAGCGGTGGCTTTTCAATGGAATAGTCAGTAATGAATGAATAAATGAGTTAGTCGCAGTTGATAGTTAATGCGACATCACAATGTATAACATCAGGCATATGGTGCTATACTGCCACTTAGCTCAGTGAGGCTACCCCATGGTGCCATTCATGTTAGGTTAGATGAAATTAGCTCATCGGCATAAATCATTGTTGTATGAATGTCGAACAAGTAGTTTGGTGGAGTTTTATAGCACCGAAGTTTTACATTCACGTGGAAGGAGAACAAATTGGTTTTCCAAACTCGTGGATTAGCAAATATATTTATCGACTGGGTAACCTCAGTTGTCACTACTTACAATATCAAAACGACTGATCCATTACAGGATCGTGCCCGTGCATGTTGACCACTTCTGGTAATTATGCTATGCATAATCAAACGAAACAAGCACATTCGCCTTTATTTGATTGCAACAATATAGTGATTGGAGACCATAGAGTGTTTTGAGACTGCATCAGTTTGTGTAGAGTAAAACGAGATATGATCTACATGGTAAATGGTGAAGAACGGACACCATTAACCACGACGAGTTAAATCCATAATTGCATAAAACAATGATCATGGAATCTACCCAAACAACATCTTGAATTTCTACAGGTACTATTCGTCACAGTTAGAGAAAACAGTTAAATAGTACTCTGTCTTCTATAAATAGCTATTAAATAGCTACATATATTTCCAAAAACCGTCTTCAAATGTCAAACTTCAACCCTTTATCAAAAGACACAGGTTGTCTATACATTTAATCAGTTTTACTCATTTTTATGTAAATTCAATTGAGAACTCGGTAACAAACTTACCAAATTACAAATTTCAGCTGAATAATTTCGATATAAATCGGAACTAGGATCCAATAAACTGTCATTCCACTCCAAAGACTTGTTCAATCTAGTCAGCATTGATGAGACTGCTACAAAAGAAATTAAATAGTTTCCAACAAGTCAAAGTTCGTTGATTTAAATCCGACTTCTCAGTGAAAGGAGAATATTGAGTTGACTTACTGTTGCACAACAAAACAAAACTGAACGACCTCTCTTCAACTCCACACCACAAATCCAAGTGTATTCGATTATGATCTATCAAAGTGATGGACACTATGAAGTAAATGGTTGTTTGATTTCCCACATCCATGCACACTGAATGCGATATGCTCTTGGTTTGTTATGAAAATAAAGAATTCTACACACACACATTGGTTAATAAGTGTAGCAATATTGTGAGTGAAGTGACGCTCAGCAAACAAATGTAACGTGACTTCCACAGTTACAGTAAATTTCAGTACTTGTTAGCTTTTATACGAATACAATTAAATTGTTCCACTTGGAAAGATTATGAATCATTCCGGTTTAACATAGATAGTGGCCAACGCGACCAGACGACCCTGAGAAACTCAACAATAAATACTGATTGACAAATAATTTCAATATATGAGCGTACTATATGTGACATCTCTTCGCTACACTGAATTTCCAAGAGGAACAATTCACCCAACCGTTTATGTAATGCAATGTGACCACATATTGATGAATGAAATGGAAAGCAGAATCAAAACAATCAATCAGGAAAATAAATTGGTGTGACAAAACAAACTGCTATATCATATTTTGACTTACCGATTACTACTGTTTTCGTGAGGTTGCCTTCTATAAAACATTTAAGTAGATAACGAAGAAAATTTTCATTAAAAGAACACATGGAGTTTGGTTACATGCAATGCAGATAGACAAGCAGAAACACAAACACAAAACATTGGAGAGAGGAACTTGAATTTAGATAAGCACACAAATGATGAAAACGTGAATTCAGGAGTAAACAATTTGGAGTGAATAGAAGGTCAAATCACTGAATGCCTCAATCAGGTCACTTCACATAATCTACTGCTCACATCAGGTCTGTTTCTAATGATTTCCAATTTTCTAATCGCTTCTGTGGATTCGCCTTTGCATTCAACATATTTCTGTATACGACCTAAATTAAACATATTTCACCAGCCAGTTTCTCATCACATTAATGTGTCTCTTCATTATTATATGACGGTGTAATAAACTAGATTAGATCACCTTGTCAGTCAATCATCATCAACCAAAACCTTGCAGCAAATGTGTCGTGGCACAATTTGCGATATGATATTGGTACAATCTGATATATTGAAGAATTTGAATTCCAACATAAATACCAATCAAGCAATAATAGTGATGACGAGAACAACAGTAGCAAACTACATTAACGTTCCCGACTTAGACAACAATGTAGCTAAACTTGCAGCAAGAAAATCGTAAATATATAACACTGATGTCGAATTAATTTCAGACAGTTCAATAGACAACAGCAGTTCGAAAACTTAGATGAAGTGTGCGTAAGACGTATTAATAGAAAAACAGAAAATAATATCATGAGAGTGTCGTCCTTGAAAAAATCAAAGAATGAGTGTAATAACAGGGCAAAAATGACGCGGAGAAAATGGAACAAACTCACATAAAGCAGCAAAATTTTACGTTATTGAAAAATCAAAGAATTATGCAACGAGTTTCGACTGTCACAACGTAAATGAAATGTTCATAAAATTACACTTTGATGGGGAGTGTGATATGATTGCTTAAATGTCATGATCTAATATCAGCACGAACAGCAATAATAATTCCACGTTAGGTGGTGGTGTGACATTAATGTGATAATGATAATATGATAATTATTATAATCATAATGGAACGATGCGCTAAACAGTTCAGTGAGCAGAGGTGACACGAGGACAAAGTGTCAATAAGGTCATACGACTTGATCATATCCATGTCCCCACCGTACCGGCTTCGCCGAATGTATCGGATTAGAGATTGAGTAGTTTGAGCGTCTCTTAGACCAATTCAGTTACTTAGTTTGATTAACGGATGCGTAGAGTTCGAGACGATCATCGTCCGACTAGTTTGCCAGGTTGCGTTAGGTTCGAAGTCGGGCCTACCACTTTAGTGGTGCTGTGATCTCTCTCCGATTTGCTCGTATGGTCGAAAACTGTGTTGTTTATCGATTGAGCAAGCTACGTTGAGTTCGTACATTGAAAGTATGGAGTGTAGAGGGTTCATCATCGACGTAGTTTGGCTGCGTTAGGTTCGTCGTCGTGCTGGTCACGTTGAGTGGCCCTTCATTTTGACGACAACTAGATCGGACGATGTTGTTATCGACGAGCTCACCACTTTTGGTGGCCTGATATCTGACTCCAATTATATCGTGTGATGATTGTCATCGAAATATACATACGGCCAGCCCTCGTATATTATCATCGAATTAACTCGCGTTAGTGAATAACCGAGTTTGATGAGTCAAATACGAGAACGAGTTTTAAGTATGCATGTTTCGTACAATCATTGATCCAGACAAATGATCAGAGAAACGAAGCGAAGAAAGTGAAGAGGAGAGAGCGAGACGAAACGAAATGATGCGCAGCGGACAAGGTGAATGAGACAACTCGCTTGAACCAAGCGTCAATCGATATTTAAAGTCCAACGAAAATAGAATACAGATCGATGAAGAATAGGATCAGCGAATAACAAACATAGTAACAAATAAAAACAATCAGGTTAATAGGCAAACAAGTGAACTGGACAAATGGGTTCGAAAAGAATAAACAAAATGATCTAAACCAAAGAGCGTAATGCATATCAGAAAACGAAAAACAAGCACGACAAAAAAAACACTGACAGAACATAAGAAAACATACAAGCGAGGCAATGGAGGCACAGAACAGAACCATAAAAAACCCATCAAGAAATAATCAAATAGCCGGCGGAAGTACGAAAAAGATTCAAAAAAAGAACGACATATATCCGAGTAGACAAAACGCAATTCACCAAATCACCAGTAGTATCAGTTCTGTGCACAACTAACTCAAACACATCTCACACAAACAACACTGCGTACATTGCATACACACAATCAACTAACACACTCACCTGTTGTACTCTCCGTCAACATAACCTCAGTTCCCGTAGTGTCGGTCTCCGTAATCTCGGTCTCCGTCGTCACTTCGTTCGTGCCAGTAGTGGTCTCAGCTACAATGGACGAAATCCAACACCAATAATTAATCAATCAATCAATCAATCAATCAATCCATCCATCAATCAGTCCATCAATCAATCATCACATCAGTCCTTCAATCAATCAGTCGATCATTCAATAAATCAACAAATCAACAAATCAATCAATCAATCCATCGATCAATCTGTCAAATGGATTAAACCTTCAACAATCCAAACATTCGTCCAACCACTCCTACAAACACTCGTACAAACACTCGCACAACCACTCATCAAAACATTCATCCAATCAGTCTCCCATGCATTCTCTCCATCAACAATTCAATCCACTTGTCCAAATACTAAGTCAACACAACACACATTATCATTCACAGACACACACACACACACTCAAACACTATCACACACTCTCCTTCCCAAACACACTCACTCACTCACGCACTCACTGACTCAATCAGTCAATCAATCAACCAGTCAGCAATACCATACTAACGCACCCACACACACACACTGGAACATAAATTAATTCACATCCATCCAATCGAGCGCACTTCATTCAATCCACCTAATCACCAGTAGTATTGTGGTTCATTCTGCTTATATTGATATGATTAGTATATAAGGGGAGGTAGAAGTACGTAATGTTTGTCAGTAGATGTTGGAGAAGATCAAGGAAGAAAGACCGTGAACACAATGGAATTTGTAAAAAATCGCATGGACAATGAAATGTGAGACAATGGATTGATATTTTGCAAATTAACGATTTAATATTTGGTTTTTCCATATTACCAAGTATTTCTGTAATCTGTCCTAAATAGAATTTGGCTGTGCTCACCCCTGTTCTCCTTCACTACATTTGGTGTCACTGCCTCCGCTAAGGATGAAGATTCCATGGCCGAAGAAGTTTGAGGGCGGAGATGTTCTGCGCTTCCTGGAGGAGTTTGAGGCCGTGGCGCAGCTGGTGGGAGTGAAGGGGCGGAAGTCGAATTCGGTGGTGCTGGGGACGCTGCTGAGAGGCGGAGCGAAGGCTATGTATGACAGATTGGACGTTGCTGGCGGTAAGACGACATGGAAGACAGTCACGGGGCGGTTGTTGACGGAGTTCGACAGTCCAGTGGACAGCAAGGACGCACTGCAGAGGTTCCGGTTGGCAAGGTTGCCGGTCGATGGTGACCCACTGGTGCTGGCTGTGGAGCTTACCAGGTTGTTACGCCGTGCGCTGCCGAGTCTGGATGAGGAGTCGGAGGCACAGTTAGCGTCACAGTTTATCGAGAGTGTGCCTGCCACCGTCTCCTAACAGCTAAAACTCGTGAACGCAGCGCAACCGATGGATATCAGTGAACTGGCGAAGGTGACTCGTCAGCTGATGACGCGAACAGTAGCTCCGGTCGGGTGCGAAAAAGCAGGAGATGAGTAATGTCGAGAAGAAGATTGAGGAGCTGGAGCGTGAGATTGCAGCAATACGAGTGAACAATAAAAGGAACGATAAATGTTACGCTTGTGGAGGGACAGGAAATTGGAAGATAAACTGTCCAACAAGACGAAGACGCAGATATGTTAGACGTTACAACGAGTGTTCTTTCTATCCCAGGAATCTGGGGATTGTTGCGTTAGTAGACAGAGGGGCAGTATATACGAGAGTGAACATAAATGAGCGAGATTTAGTTTGTCTGATCGATACAGGTGCAGCAGTATCGTTAATAGGCAAAGAGCAATGTAAGAGAATCAAGCCGTGTACATTAGCTGTCCACACGATAGGAGGCCATATGTTAGAGGTGTTTGGCGTATCTAACAGTATCGTAAAAGTGGGGGATGCTGAGATAAATTTTCCGTTCGTGGTAACCACAAGCCTATCGAGACCGATATTAGGAGCAGATTTCCTAAGAGAAGTAAAAGCGATAGTTGACTTAAGAAGCGGTAAGGTGGTCACGAAATATGGTTCATTGACGATACAGGAAATTAGTGAAGTGGCTGAAATAAGAGTTGCAGCCGATGTCTTGTCAAAGGAACCAAACATTCACGAGTTATGCAAAAAGTATGCGAAACTATTCACTGGAGATGGGGAGCCGTATGGATTTTGTGACAGAGTAAAGCACGAAATACCGATAAAGAACAGTCGAGTAAATATATTTGCAACACGTCGTGTCCTGGTGCATTTAGAGGCCGAGGTAAATCGTCAGGTCCAGGAAATGTTGAAAGAAGGTATAATTGAGGAAGCGGACAGCCCATATAGCTCGCCAGTACTCTTGGTGAAGAAACCAAATGGAAAGTATAGATTTTGTGTCAACTTCAGAGAATTGAATAATATAACAGACCTGAAGCCTTGTGCAATGCCAACAGTGGTGGAAACATTAGATCGGCTACAGAATGCCAAGGTGTTTACAGTGCTGGATTTACGGTCAGGCTATTGGCAACTGCCTATAAAACAGAGTGATCGAAGCAAGACAGCGTTTACTGTACGTGATAAACAGCATCAATTTAAACGAATGCCGTTCGGGTTGGCGGGTGCACCGTTCACATTCCGAAGATTAATGACACTACTGCTCAAGAATCTAGATAATGTCGAGGTATATGGCGACGATGTAGTTGTGTACAGTCAAACAGAAACAGATCACGTCAAGCATGTAGAAGCGGTCTTAAAGCGAATTGACGAATTTGGACTTCGGATTAATAAGGAAAAGTCGCAGATAGCGAGAAGTAGCGTCACATTGTTGGGACATAAAGTGGGAAATGGAGAAATAAAACCATTGCCGGAGAAAATTCTTACCATGAAAAATATTGTAGTACCTTGTAGTGACTCACGTTTATCACGAGAACACGACTGGTTTAATAAAAACAATTATTATTATAACCAACTGTACCAGTGTTTGTTTTAATGTGCTTTCGTTTAACTGTGCTAATGACAGCTATTTTGTGCTTCCATTCTTATACACACACTTCGATTGTAACTTCGCGCGAATTCGGTTACCTTCTGTAACCAAGGTTGTATCCTGGCACGATCTCGGTATCCTTTCGATGCCACGAGATCGCCAGCTAATAAACCTCGACTTGGTCCATTAACTGTCTTCTGATATTTGGCTTCTCGGGGATTTTATGGATCTATTTGGTTACGTCCAACCCTCACCTTCTGATTTATTTGGCACGTGTTTCTTGGTAGCGGTGTTCATAGTTAATCTCAACTCGACGCCACGCTACAACCTAAATCGAAAAAGAAGTTGAGACAGTTCCTGGGAAGAGCGGCGTTCTACAGTCGATTTGTCAAGAATTTCAACGAAATAGCAGCACCCTTACATAAGTTATTGAGCAGCACCAAGTTTACGTGGACTGAGACTGCCGAACAAACGTTCAACCGAATCAAAAACATGCTAGACGATCGCCAGATGACGCTCAGACTGCCTGAACCGGGAAGACTGTTTACAGTGGCCACAGACGCGAGTGATCATGGTATAGGTGCTGTGTTGAGTCAGGCTGATAGAGTGGTGGAATACGCGAGTCGCGTCCTCACACCTGCTGAACAGAAGTATTCAACCATCGAAAAGGAGTGTTTAGCGATCGTGTGGGCAGTGGAAAAATGGAGACCGTACCTTTTAGGTAGACGATTTCACATTGAGACCGACCATAAACCCCTGCAGTGGTTGAAAACAGCAAGAGACCCCTGAGGGAAGTTGGCGCGATGGATGATACGCCTGCAAGAATACGACTTCAGTATCGGTCATGTTCCAGGAAAAGAAAACGTAATGGCGGATTACTTGTCAAGACCAGACATGGAAGCCGACCTGCCATTAACAGCATACGCGGTGAATAGTTTAGAGGGAGACCCATTAGAACTCGTCCGGCAGCAGAAAGCTGACCCTAACCTTCGGGAGGTAATCAGAGTGATAAGAGAGGGAGCAGACGTAGACGAACGAACAATGGACAAGGAGGTAATAACGCTGCTTCGGCAAAAGGAACGACTGAGAGTGAACTCATATGGAGTGCTGACCTGGCAGGACGATGATGAGAATCGGGTGGCGTTGATCCCGAAAGACTGGTGGCGTAAAGTGATACACGAGTGTCACCAGGTAGCACATACAGGCATCGCAAGAACGACGGACTTACTACGACAAAGTGCATACTGGCCGAGCATGAGAGACGATGTGGCTGAATACGTGTTAACCTGCCAGCAGTGTCAGCTAATGAAAAGCGATCGATACACACAACCGCCATTACAGTCAATCCCAGTAACCGCAGTCGGTGATCTATGGTCGGTGGATGTGATGGGACCGTTTCCACAGACGGCAAGCGGTAAACAGCACCTGTTAGTGATGGCGGAACATGCTACACGTTGGGTAGATGCCGTACCCATTGCAGACCAGCGGGCAAACACAGTGACCGAGGTGGTAATCCGACATATTGTAGCGTGTCACGGAATACCGAAGATGATATTAACTGACCAGGGTCCCTGTTTTGAAAGTGACGAGTTTAAAGCCCGTTTAAAGCAGTTTGGCATCAAGAGAATACGAACTACACCGTATCATCCTCAGACAAACGGACTTACAGAGAGAAACAATCGGACGTTAAAGGAATGGTTAGCATCAAAAGGAGGAAATTGGGAGAAAGAGCTACCATTGATTTTGCTGGCACATCGTTCCTCCACACAAGGAACAACCAAGAAGTCACCTTTTTTGCTCATGTATGGCAGACAACCACGACTTCCAATGCATAATAAGACCTGGCCACAACAACAGAAGTGGACGACAACAAGGTTAAGAAAAGAGAGGAGGGAGGCAATAAGGAACGTAGAGAAGAAACAAATATCAGACACAAAGAAGGCGGAACAACAGAGGAGAACGTGGAAACCCTTTGCAGTGGGGGACCTAGTAAAGTGTAGAGAACGAAAAAGTAACATAGCAGGGGGAGCAGGCTCGGGGAAGCTGGCCCCAAAGTGGGAAGGAACGTATGTTATCACGGGGAGACGCGGCTCGGTTTACACGGTCCGGAGAGAAGACAAGCAGAAGCGCGTAAATGCTAGTCAGCTACAGAGATGGTTTCAAGATCATCGTGGGTGTGAGTCACGAAAAGCACAAAAGAACACAGCGGTACGAAGTTCAGAAAGACTACGACGGCAACTTGTTAAACGGGGAGAGGAGTGTGGTGCGTGCTACTTATATTGATATAAGTACAATATAACGTGAGGTAAAAGAACGTAATGTCTGGCAGCAGAAGATGGAGCAGATCAAGAAAGAAAGAACGAGAACACAATGGAATTTATAAGAAATCGCATGAAAAAGAAATGTGAGACAATGGAATGATGTTTGCAACAGCAACAGTCCGGTTTGATATGATAGAATGCTATTTCGCAAATTACCGATTAAATAAATGGTTATTCAAAAACACCAAGTATATATGTAAACTGTCCTAAATGAAACTGGCTGTTCTCACCCCAGTTCTCCTTCACCAGAGTATCAGATCCGTGCACAAATAACTCAAACACATCTCACACAAACAACACTGCGTACATTGCATACACACAATCAACTAACACACTCACCTGTTGTACTCTCCGTCAACATAACCTCAGTTCCCGTAGTGTCGGTCTCCGTAATCTCAGTCTCCGTCGTCACTTCGTTCGTGCCAGTAGTGGTCTCAGCTACAATGGACGAAATACAACAACGATAATTAATCAATCAATCAATCATTCCATCCATCCATCAATCAATCAATTAATCCATCAATCAATCATCACATCAGTCCTTCAATCAATCAGTCGATCATTCAAAATATCAACAAATCAACAAATCAATCAATCAATCCATCAATCAATCTGTCAAATAGATTAAACCTTCAACAATTCAAACATTCGTCCAACCACTCCTACAAACACTCGTACAAACACTCGCACAACCACTCATCAAAACATTCATCCAATCAGTCTCCCATGCATTCTCTCCATCAACAATTCAATCCACTTGTCCAAATACTAAGTCAACACAACACACATTATCATTCACAGACACACACACACACACACACACACTCAAACACTATCTCACACTCTCCTTCCCAAACACACTCACTCACTCACTCACTCACGCACTCTTTCACGCACTCACTGACTCAATCAGTCAATCAATCAACCAATCAATAAATCAGACAATCCCACAATAACTCACCCACACACACACACACACACGAACACAAATTAGTTCACATCCATCCAATCGAGCGCACTACATGCACTCCACCAAATCACCAGTAGTATCAGTTCTGTGCACAACTAACTCAAACACATCTCACACAAACAACACTGCGTACATTGCATACACACAATCAACTAACACACTCACCTGTTGTACTCTCCGTCAACATAACCTCAGTTCCCGTAGTGTCGGTCTCCGTAATCTCGGTCTCCGTCGTCACTTCGTTCGTGCCAGTAGTGGTCTCAGCTACAATGGACGAAATCCAACACCAATAATCAATCAATCAATCAATCAATTATTCAATCAATCAATCAATCAAGCATCACATCAGTCCTTCAATCAGTCAGTCGATCATTCAAAAAATCAACAAATCACAAATCAATCAATCAATCCATCAATCAATCTGTCAAATAGATTAAACCTTCAACAATTCAAACATTCGTCCAACCACTCCTACAAACACTCGTACAAACACTCGCACAACCACTCATAAAAACATTCATCCAATCAGTCTCCCATGCATTCTCCCCATTAACAATTCAATCCACTTGTCCAAATACTCAGTCAACACAACACATTATCATTCACAGACACACACACACATACACTCACACACAAAAACACTATCTCACACTCTCCTTCCAAACACACACACTCACTCACTCACTGACTCACTCATTCACTCACTCACTCACTCACTCACTCACTCACTCACTCACTCACTCACTCGCTCACACACTCACTCACTCACTCACTCACTCACTCACTCACTCACGCAATCTTTCACGCACTCACTGACTCAATCAGTCAATCAATCAACCAATCAATAAATCAGACAATCCCACAATAAATCACCCACACACACACACACACGAACACAAATTAGTTCACATCCATCCAATCGAGCGCACTACATGCAATCCACCAAATCACCAGTAGTATCAGTTCTGTGCACAACTAACTCAAACACATCTCACACAAACAACACTGCGTACATTGCATACACACAATCAACTAACACACTCACCTGTTGTACTCTCCGTCAACATAACCTCAGTTCCCGTAGTGTCAGTCTCCGTAATCTCGGTCTCCGTCGTCACTTCGTTCGTGCCAGTAGTGGTCTCAGCTACAATGGA